TACATATATTTGACGTAGTATTTTTCAATAATTTATTTAACTGACTTCCCGATTGTATTTTAAGCTCACATTTGGTGGACATAATCTATACTTCATGAGAAATAAGCTCACAAAATTTCATAAATAAATTCCACCCAGAAGCACCTCAAATGAAGATTACGCATGCAATGTATAAGAAGTTCGGTTCCTGTCTAGGAACCGGAACCGAACCGATCCTATACTATAGGAACCGAACCGAAAAAAGCTGAAGACCAAGATTATAGGAACCGAACCGGACCGGAAAATTCGGTTCGGTTCGGATCGGTTTTCCGGTTTTACGGTTCTATGTCCCAGGCCTACTCCGTCCCCTAAGTTTGGGACAAAGGGATGTGGTGTGATTTTTAAGAAAAAGTAGAATTGTGTGGTTGGTATTGAATTAATAAAGTGTGAATAAAGCAAGAATGAATTTTAACCACTCAAATATTATCAAATATGGTATGGGACAAACTTAGTGGGACGGACGAAAAAGGTAAAATGAGACAAACTTAGGGGGACGGAGGGAGTATTTTTCAATCACAACTCCAAAAATATCATAAAATCTTATAGTAATTGTCAATGAGAGTTAGGGCATTTTAGGGATGGAAAAAATGTCTGTGTAATCGTCTAGCTTAGTGAGCTTGTACAACGTGCCCTCTTTGCCAGCATCTTATTTCTCCGTTTTCTTTCCGTCTGTTGTAATGGCTCCTTTCAACCTCAACGTCTTCTGTATATGTTAACGTTCTCCTATACATTCTGCCTGTGTTATCTCGCTTGAGACAACCTTCAAACAACCTCCTCTGCATTCGTCTCTCCACTCCTAACCCTTATCGTAAGAAATTCCCTAGGTTGTAATTCGTTTTGCCACAAGTTGGGATCTGTTCGCCGCCGGACAACCGTATAGCTAATAGCAAGAACCACACGACCAAGGTAATTTCAGAGCACTGCCCCACCTAGATATTTCGAGGTATGAAACTTCAACTTATAACCCATATCAGGTCGAATCCGTTTGATAATTTGGGGCGTTGAGTTCCACTTACGAACGAATGAGTTGATAATCAAATAGTTTCGAGTTGAATATACCGTATTTACTTCCTTTAAGGTATTAACATGTGGAGGAGGTGTGTCTCCCCATGTTTCTTAAATCTTATCTTAAAATCTTAAATGAGGGTTAACAATGAACGTTATTAACAATACTCTCATCAAATTAGAGAAAAAGTTAAAGCTTGCAATGTTAAGGACCAACTCACGGATGTTACTGTCAGGTTAGAAAATAGCTTTGCCAAGATGTTTATAAATTTGCCAAAATGTTCATGAAATTTTCTTTGCAATGATTTGTAGCTTCAAATGTCATCAAAAGATTCAAAACTGACTGAATAACCCCATGACCATACAAACAATTTAGCAACACAGGATTTCATGAAGAAAAAATTACACAAATATTACAACTTTGAATCTCTCTAACAAAAATATGACTACTAATTGAAAGAACAAGGTGATTTTCCTACAATTACTCCTAGATTGCTTTACGTGATTGACAGTTATGGTCACTTACTCACTTTTTTGTAAACCCAAACTGCATTGATATATTCACGTAAAAAACTCTTTCATGAATCAGGCTTCTCCAGTATAATCCCACCTACAAACTCAATTACTTTCCCGAAGTATCGGCCCAAAGTATCGGGAGGATAACCTCATTGCATGTAGCTTCTTTTGAAATGTTTATCCAAGTCTCCTTTTCCTGACTATGGATTAGGTCTAATAGCCCTTAGGAACCTCATTAGTTTCCCTAAGTATCGGGAGGATTACATTTTCTTCATATATCTATCTATTTCACAAACTCAGTTTTCCCCCTTTTTAAGCCTGACATTTCAATGATTTTGATTTTATATAGCTCCTTCATTTATCTATTTAGCTGCATCATTTAAGACAAACTCAGTTCTGGTTTTAATTTTTAAACAGGGTTCTTAAAAGTGCCAAGTGATTGTTATTTTCTGCTTCATAGGATTATAGTTTAGACTGGCTGATTAACTTGAAAAACTAAATTAAACCACATTCAATCTGAAGGCAATTTTTTACATCGGCACGTTACATTTTCACTGTTTTGTTTTCCGGAATACATTTAACAATGTTTTTCAGATCATATACCATTTTTGTCATTCATAAATTCAGACCACAATGTCTCAGTGTTCTGAAATATCAACCGTAACTTTAAACCATATGCTGATTCGAGTTGAGGCAATGACCTAATGCCACCCCCGCTTCATTTTTTAATTTTCTGAGTGTCTTCATGTTTGCAAGTGGTAGTTATCAATTCATTTATGCAGTATTTTGATTACTAGTCTAGAGGAATGTAGTTTGAAAGCATTTTGGACTGGAATGGGTTGTTATCAAATGTCAATGAACTGAGAAGCATTCAAATAAGTTTGTAATGATATGAATAAAAAGGTGTATCACTATCACTCTATCAGTAAAGGTTAATAACAGTACTCTCATCATATTAAAGGCTAGAATGCCCTGACTGTCATTGACAATTATAAGATTTTAAGATTTTGTTTTGCGACAAATGCGATAATAATTAATCACTTGGTTCTGTTTTTTTAACACCCAGAGTATTCTCATTAATGTTTTTCTGGACTTATAGTTTAGTAGCTTCTAAAAACTGCTTTTACTCTTTTTTGGTTTTCTGAGTATGAAGCCTTTTTTCCATTTAAAAAACATAGTGTAGCTGACTGAAGATAAAAAATGCAACTTGAAATTTTTCTACTTGATCACAAAGCCATGTCAAAGAAAGCAATAGGTAGGAGATTTCTTTAAAAAAACAGACTATTTGACATGGATTAAGTAATTCATTGTACGAAAAAGTGACAAATGTAGTTGTTATAATAGATAGAATTAGAAATTAAGGATTAGTTATAGGAAAACTTGGTGTGGATTTGGCATGGATTACATAATTATAATGACAGTTCCAAAATGAGTTTTCCAAAACTTAGTGTGGTTTTGGAAAACATAATGTGGTTTTGGTATGGCTTCACAAAACTTAGTTAAAAACTCATTACAACTCGGTGTAGTTTTGGACTCTTCAGAATCAGGTAGTGGGGACAGTGTCAGGTTGAGAAAATGCCATTTTTTATGAATATCGTGTTGAATTTCTGAATCCATGTTTTCTTCACTTTAGCTCAGGGTTTCGTCCTATTTATACTTGAGGGTGGCATTGCTTGGTTCATCTCTTATCGCCATTCAAGGAGCAGCAGGAGCAAAAACCAACTGTCCCTGGACTTAAAGCACCACCATCGCCTGATTCCAGTTATGACAATGTCTATGACATAGAAGAAGACACACTGTCCCCGCCCCCCCTCCATAGATTCCTCCCCATCTGTTGAAATCCATTGCCATCCACAAAACGACCACTGGTGAAGAGACACCTGACCCGCCACCAGATCATGTAATGCTAAACATTCTCTGCACTGATGCCTACAACAGTCTCCATCCGAAGGTGTGGGAGTGGCAACAACTTGCGGTTGTGGCTCCAAATATGTGACGACTGTGTTTCGCGAACCGGCTCCCCCGAGAAGTGAAGTGGCAGCTGTAGCTATGCCTGAGAATAACGGAGATGCATGCATTTGTTTTGGTTTGTTAGCTTAATTTCAGTGTCCCTTAATTAAACTAAGCAGCAGTATGCATCTTTATGGGACATCAATGGGTTCGGCGACATGCTTGTTATATTAAGGGCATATTTAGTTCGAGTTAATCATCTATGCAAGTCAGAATGTGAAGTATTCGTGTTTGGTTTGTTGGTTTGATATTTTTGAGAGAATGTTACATTTCCGAAAGTAATTTGATGCCCCTTAATGTCCAACCCACTTAGCTCTTAGGTTGTCTTAAATTCCTTAGTGGTAATGAATTTTATTCCAAAGATACCCATTCTCATTTAAAAAAAGTTGCAATCCAGATTTAAAATGAATAAATGAAACTTATTTCACACCTTTTCCTTATGCGGTTGAAAACGCCCTTGAGCGGGAATCTGAAGGCACAACTTCCCTTTAGTTTTTTGAGGAGCCTAAGTCAGGGCTCCTATATGTAATACTTCCTCCTTTTTCTTTAAGTTGCAACAGTCCATTTTTCACGTTTGCCAACGCACAAGTTGGATCATTAATATATGTCATTTCTTATTACTAAAAAAAAATCATATTTTGAAATTTTAAATTAAGAGGACTCTAACAATATTTATTAAAAAAATAATTATGATACATTAGTAAGTAAAATGTAGACAAAGCAGAGTATGTGAATAGTGCAAGATAGTATGTTCTAATATAGAGTTAAAGATTAAAGTTTGTGTGAGAAATATAGTTTAATTGTTCAAAATAGGGTCTAGTAATCATAAAAGTAATCATGTCGAATCAGCGTATGATGTACATATTTTCGAAAAAAACATTGGGCATTTTATTCAATCGCGCAACGCGCGTGTAGAAAACTAGTCCTTTTTATTAGATGCTTTGTCTATATTTTCTTCGATGTCAAGGTGCTTTGCAAAGCTTTCTGAAATACCACCCGCAAAATTTACACCTCGACTCACCTGAGTAGTTCATCTCGTGCACTTCTCATCGTGCCTGTGAGTTTTTATTGAATTCTTCTCGTTTTCAATCCATTATTTTTCATAAAGCGGGAATACCTCGAATAGTGGAGCCTGACTACCATGAGGCGGAGCTCGACCATCGCCAAGGCTAAACCGGGTGCTGATACAATTACCACATTACCCTTTGACATAATGTAAATCCTCTCTTAGGAGTCCACTAACAAAGATTGAATTCTTGTTCATAATTCTTTAATTTGGTAAGAAATACAGAACTTGCATTGTCAAAACTCAAAATCAATGTCATTAGTCATTCCTGAATATTAATCATATCATTTAAATTGCTTGAATCTTCTATAACATGACATGAAATGTACTTGGTAATTGGTATTCCACAAAAGGGAAACATATTCAGGACTTTATATCATTAGTCGAGCTTGAATTTGGCATGAAAAGCGCGCGGGCAGAGCAAGTTGGCACCCCAAAATATAAAAAACTCAAAATTTTCACGCATCTCTCTGACTCACCCCTCTTTCTAAAATCTTCCCTAATTAGAAGAACCCTAGACGTTACAAAGGAGGACTATAAGGCACGATTCCTCTTTTCATCCATCTCCTCGGTACCAACAGTTTTTATCAGACAGATGCGATATAGGAGCGCTTCCTTAATTTAGGTTTGATTAATCATCTTTTCTTTTAATTTTTAATTTTTCGGCGATTGATCATCTGATCTCGTTTATTCTGATCATGCCACAATGATCGGTCATTTAGATTTCAGACCTGTGAATTTGGGCATTCTTTCGGGTAAAGTTACTAACTTGTTTGGTTTATCAGTTTCTTTGCCGACATTTTTTTTAATGTTTTGATTTTGTAACCCGCCATCATGCTCTTAAGGAAGTAAGATTCTGAAAATATACAGGGTTCTTTTGTTAAATGTTCAATGACTTGTAGCATACATGAAGGCTTTCAACTTCAAACTTGCAGTTTAAATTAAGAAAGAGAGTCTAAAATTTGTTTTTTTTTTATTTCAGTTTTGCTTTTGTTTTTGTTTGGGTGTTAGGATGTCAAGTACCTTTGCTGGAGGATAAATTTTCCCATGATGGGTAACTAAGTTTTGATGATTAGTTTTTCCCTTGAGCCGACCTTTCATTCTTTTCATGTAAAGTTTTAATTTGCTCAAGCCTTTAGCTAAGGGAGCAGATTTTGCATTGAGACATTCTCTTTAACCCTCTAAGACGGTGAACAGCTCACTAGAGTGTAGAAACCCAAACTTTGACTCCACAATCAAGAAGGTTGCGTATTTACTATTTCAATAAGTTTTGTTGCTCCAAGTAGCATGGAAATGCAACACTAGAAACATGAAATGCGAGAAATGCCACATCCTAAGAGTTTCCAAGCAACATTGTTTTCGCTCCACTCATGTAGCAGTCAATATATTTGTACCTTTTTTAATTGTTGTTCCAACAAACTTATCAATCCCTAATTTTCATTTATTGATCTTTCTTTGTCTTAATTTCCACAACTAACTAATATGCACTTTCTATGTAAAAACAGTTGGATTTAATTTTAAAACTGTTTTTTTTTTGTGTGCAAATGAAAGAATAGGGTGTATTATTAGTAGAGTTTGATATTTTTTAGTTAAAGGATTAAATATGTCATCTTAACTGCTAAACTTAGATGTGCGTCATTGGATAACCATTTTACCTTTTAAACAGTATCAACTGAATGGGAACCATTGGTTTATGAAGAAAAATATACAATAAACAAACACACAAAAAGTCTGGCTCCTAATTTCCTTGTGGGGCAGTGAATATTTCTGTATATTTACCCATGTGTTGGAGGTAGTCAATTAGTCAAAGCAGATTCATGTCTTGATCATGATTTAATTATAGCAATTACTTGGCTTCATATAGGCTTTTGCACAACTTTCTGCCAGCTGAAAAGTTGTTGATCATAAGATCGCAGTATGAGCAGTCAGGAACAAATAGGTCATCCATCCAGGTGCGCAAGAGCTTTACAGAGGACGAAGAGTTCACTCAATGTTGATCTCAATGTCATGCCTCCATGGGAGAACCTTAATCAGGAGGGAACCTCTACTCGCTCCGTTTCTCAGGATATGCCACATGCTCAAAGAGTCACCTCGAGTACTGAACCAATTGACATTGATGGACTTGATGATGATGATGTCACTATATTATCTCGCCGTGCCTTTGCTCAAGTATGTCTTCTATATTGCGTATATACAAGTCCGTGGTATATTTAGTCTACTGTCATTTAGTATTATTATATATGACTTTTATGCCTTGACTGATTGTTTTAGATATTTTTAAAATTTTCTTAGGCCAAGAACAACCTTAAAAGGAACCGTGGACAGGCTGCTGTGGTTGATGTAGATTCAGGTGAGTACCTTTCTTCTTTGGGCTTGATAAAATTCCTCTTCTATGCATGGTAGCAGTTGGTGAACTATGCTGAGGGTAGTTCCTTACAGCACTTCTTTGGTGGAGGGATATTGGAGGGTAGGGGAGAAGTGAGGATGAAAAAATACACTGGCATATAAGTAAATGATGTAACTAAATATTATATAGTTATTTTGTAGTTTAGGGTTAACAAATAGATATAAATTTGTAAAACAAAAATTAATCCTTGCCACCAAGGATTTCAAAGACATAATTGGTCCCCAAGCTTTTGGTCTTCCTTCTCATAAGGTGTAATCCTCGTGGTGAAAGTGTAAACCTCATTTTATTATAGATAAAATATGAAAAATAAAAGGTAGTTCATGGTAATAGTTCAATGATTTATAAATTTGTATTTTTTTTTAAACACAAAGAATGTTCCAAGAAGAACAAAAGAGGAAGTCAATATGCATTTTATTCCTCCATGAAAACTAAGAACGTGTTTTAGAGTGGTTCTAATTTTCAACCTACTAATCCTCAAATCTAATAAGATTGTTCATTGGAAGGAGAATTACAGTCTTAGGATGTGTTCATTTGGAATGGTAAAAATGTAAAGTACACGTATACTAGACCAGGAAGTTTTTCAATCCAAGTGAAAACATTTTTAGTCCCTCTTTTATCATACACTTTTAAATATAGTCCTTATCTTTTAATTTTTGTAAAATCCATCCCTTTGCGTAAGAAATTGTAAGTAATAGTCTGTAAATAATAGTCTGTAAAATTCCGACCCATAATTATGTAACGTGTTGCAAGTATCGTTCCTCAATTTTTCAATATGCTGTAAATAATAGTCTCTACCGTTAATAGTGAAGTGCTGGAGTTTTTAAACAGCGCAGATTGATAATTACAACCTGCTGCACATTTAAGAGACAACATTCGCAAAAACTAAAAGACATGTAATATATATCAATAAGCGGAACAAATGAGGGATCAAAGTGTGTTTTGTGGTCGCTGGTGGTAACCCACGGGGCGCTCTGCTGCTCGTGAATGCTGAACTCTGTGAATGGACCGGTAAATATGGTTTTATGGAAGGTAATGATTGAGGAAGAAAGAAGACTAGGACAGTGTGATTGGGAGAGAAAAGACAAGTGAATGATCAGTAGAGGAGTCAACTAGTCAAGCTAGGGTTAGCAAAGCTGCAAAGCCCAACAAGCTTTTCAAGAGGGCCAGATTCTAGGATTCCTCTATAAAATTAAGGCTTAAGCCTTGATAGCCTATATGCCTCACCGACATCAAGCCTAAGCCTTAAGCCTCCTGGAAATCAGAGTATCAGACCTTAAAGCGTCAGAGGCGTAAGCCTCACTCAAGTTATAAGTGCTGCTTGGGAACTTGTGGCTTCAACCTGATAAAGGAAAATCTCCCCTTGCTAAATGATGTCACCCTTTTTTCTATCAGATTCCATTTACCATATGTCTGTGAGTTAGATATTGGAGGGGAATGGAGCGGGGGGGGGGGGGGGGGTTATTTTTACTCTTAAATTAAAATAATTATGTCATTTGTGGCGATAAATTAAATGACTAGTACCTTGAAACGATACAAGTTTGTACTTTTGTATCTTCAATTATGTAAAATTATCGCGTTAGATAACTATATAGTTGAATATCCATCATTTGCAATGGAGCCAATGACTCACAATTTTTGGCTTGGAAATATGATGGAATAAAGCAAAATGGTTCATTGAACTGTCTGCGCTTCTTTGTTATGAAGCAGTGGTTGGTCCATACAATTTTCGACGCAATTTTCGCTAGAGGTCATCCAGAAAGTCTTTATGTGCTTTAGTACATGGGTAAGACTGCGTGCATCCGACCCCTTACCCCAACGTAGGTGGGAACCTTTGCGGCACTGAGGTAATGATGATGAGATAACTATATAGTTGAAAGGGAAAAAATAACTCCCTCGCTCCCTAAACCCTTACTCCCAAATATTTTGTTTCAACTGTATCCTTGTTTTTAGTTAAAATAGGCATTCCTCTATGTGTTTTTATATTTACTTTCTTCACAACCATGTAAATGCAAGAAAAAGTAAATAATCATAACTCCCATGTCAATTCCCCAACTAAACAAGGGTCATAGTAGTTTTTTCTGAGCAGTCGATAACTGTGCAGATGAGTGTCTGCTCAGGGTTACATCTACCAACACTAACAAGCGCAGAAGGGCTCGTACAAACCAACCAGTTACAAAAACCATAACATGCATAAACCTTGAAGAATACAATAACTCAAAGGTATTGGTAGTTCTCTCTCTGTTATCCAAATATAGGCACATACCCCCCCCCCACTCCCCACCTTCATTGTGCTTATTGTTTTATACAACATCCAATTTGTTTATATATATTATAAAAATGTATCAGGAGGTGGCATTGGTATTGGCACCTCCTCCACCAAAGGAGCCGGTGTTCAGTTGTCCAGTTTGCATGGGCCCACTAGTTGAGGAGATGTCGACCAAATGTGGTCACATCTTTTGCAAAGTGTGCATCAAAGCTTCTATCGCTGCTCAAGGTAAGTGTCCTACTTGTCGGAGGAAGATTACTATGAAGAACACCATACGAGTCTACCTACCCTCTACAAGCTGAGCTTGTGATTATTTTCACCTCCGGCGTTCACCCCTTGCACCATTTGACTAGGGATGACGCACTTTGTTGGAAGCAGGAATAACAAAGAAAGTCCACACTCGGTAAAATGACTCAATCCTTGTTGTAATAGTAATCAATGAAAAGAGTTTTTTGGCCTTTTTAATTTTTAAAGCTCATGTAGCTATTTAAAGATCTGTGCTGTATCAATATTGCAATGCATCAAATAACTTTGTTCTTTGGTAGCACTACAGTCTACATAACATTACTGAAGTCTTGTATCTCTGTGCTTTGATGGGTGTACATCCTGTTACAGTATTACTATGTTGAGTCGTCATTTGAGACTTTGCATACGCACATGTATGATGTATATATGGGTGAACGTGCTCGGTTTTAATGTTTTTTCCTCTTAAAATGTATTTCCATATATAAAACTAAAGTAATAATGACTTAATATACATTAAGATATTTATTATAAGTATTAAAACACAATTGATAAAATACATTTATCAGTGTTTAATTCGAATTACAAATACTACATTTTTGGGCTGTATTCCAAATATTATAAATATTGAAACATTACATTTATACAACATCAGGCTTAAAGCCTTATTGAATTTGAGAGGGTATACAATTTTTGATACGTTATAAAACAAATATAATACTTGTTCATTGTTAGTGTGAATGATTATTCTGTACTAAGAAAATATTTGTGTAGGCCGTAGGGTATTATAATGAAAAAATGACAAAAATAAACCTCCCGACTTTTAGTTGGGCACAAGTAGGACTGGTTTTCGTATATGACAAAAAAGATACCAATGTAGTGTAAAAATTCTAAAAAGCCCTTAGCACTGCCCGTCTTCCACATTTGTAGCAAGGACCAGATTCCAGATCTGGAAGAGGTCAGCAACCAGACTTCCTACGCGACCATCACTCTCGAACCCATCATTGCTCAGCTCGTCGCCTCACCCTTCGTCTTCCACCGTCATCGCTCAGCCCTGCATCGCCGCTCATCGTTCATTCTCCGGCCTGCTTCAATTTCATCGCTACTCATCTCACCGGCTCACCATTCGACTTCCACCGCCATTGTCGCCACTATAGGTCTGCACCGCCACTACTTCTATTTCTATCTCGATTCTTGTGCTGAATCAGAACACCACTGCAGTTGGATCGATTCTTGAGATTGCGAATTGGTGTGGCGGCGCTCCCCGCCGCTGCTGTGGTGGTATCTTGTGGTGCGAGGGTTGGGGAGGGGGGTGCGAGGTAGGGTGAATCTACGGAGGAGGCCGACCTGCAGCGATTAGGAGCAAAGGTAGGGTGAGATTGGCAAAGTGTCGGCGGTCTCCGGCGGTGGCCGGATGTGGTGGTTGCCGGCGGTGGACGGAGCTGGTGGTCGCTGGGGTGGCCAGAGGTAATGAACGCCGGCGGTGGCCGGAGGTAGTATAGTGAACGCTGGCGGTGGACGGAGGTGTTGGTCTCCGAACGTTGTAGTCGTCGGTGGTGGCCGGAGGCGGTGGTCATTAATTGTACTTGGTCGGTGTCGGGTAATTGTAACCGGTCAAATTGGATAACTGTAACTGATCGGGCGGGTAATTGTAACTGGTCGGGTCAAGTAATTGTAATTGGTCAGGTTAGAAAACTGTAACTGGTCAATTCGGGTAACTATAATGTTGAATCGGGTAAATGTAATTAGTCGGACATGTAACTATAACTGGTTGGGTCAGATAATTGTAACTGGTCGGGTTGGGTAATTGTAACTGGTCGGGTCGGGTAATTGTAACTGGTCAGAACGGGTAACTGGTCAAATCAAGTAACTATCACTAGTTGAATTGGGTAACTATAACTAATCGGGCGAGTAATTATGACCTATGTAGCACCGATACCGGAAACGCGGAAACGCGGAAACGGGTACGGGGATACGTCAAAACAAAAAAAAGTAGGATACGGATACGGGGCCATATTTATAAATATTAAAAGTTATGGGGGTGTATCTACAAATATTAAAAGTTATAGGGGTCTATTTATAAATATTAAAAATAGTTTTTTTTTGAAAAAATATATATACATATAATATCCTATGATGTCTACCTATTCATTGCATTGAAGCATTTTCCTTTTTCAAGATACTTAGTAATAAATTCATAATATATTTCTCATATAAACTAGTGCATTTCGAAATATAAATGTAGTCAATAAGTCATTAATTTAAAATGATAAATAAGTCAAACAACTACAATCTTGAAATTAAAAGTGCAAGTACCCAATTCGGAGTACGAGTTAATGACTTAATTCGGATATAGTCATATAGGCCCATTATTTGATTATCAAGTAAAATGTAGTTTTAGATTTTCATTGTTTTTAGAATTTTATTAAGTAAATTTTGGGATTTTTTTTAAAAAAGTTGATACGGGTATCCGTCAGGATACGAGTATCGGAAACTTTCAAAAAATTACAAATAAAAAATGGAAACTTTTAAAAATTGCAGATACGGCCCGGGAACGTACGGTACGGGTATCCTAGAGTATCGGATACGGGAACGTATCGGATACGCCGATACGCTACCCTAAGGAAGTATCCGTGCTTCATAGATTATGACTGATAGGATCAATTATTTGTAAATCGTAATCGGATAAATGTAAACAGGGCACAGTTATGATAAAACTATAAAAATAAATAAAAAAAATCACTGGTTGTTGCCAGCATGTGTAGACTTCCAGTGCGTCCGAAATGGTTGGGAGAAAGAAACAAGTACAAAGTTGACTAGCAGGGGGCATATGTGACATTTCCTTTCCAAGTTTTAAAATGAAACCACCGTATCACATGTTTTTTGGAAAGTTATAAAGAAGGTCCTATTTTTGTCCAAACCTTTTTAGTTAGTAATATTCATGATCAAACCTCCCATTCCCGTTTTCTGGTTTGCATGTTTTATTTCTTTAATCGTTGCCTATGCCATGATAATTTATAACTCCCATCTTCAATTTGCTAGCTTTTTTTAGTTTTTACTTCCCAAGTTCCCATTCCTCTTTTACTTGCACTTTCAAATATGATAATTTCTTCTTTTATTTGGTTTTGCCAAATAATCGCAGCCCTTTCCTCACGGTGCTTTCATCTTTTTTTCAAACTTATGAAGTGTAAGGAGTAAATTGTGCGTACATAAACTTATTTGAAGAGGTTTTAATGAAATAGTAATTGATTTTGATTGAAACAGAGTTTTAATGGAATATATGATTCCATAAGTAATGAAGAATAATGAATTTGAAATGTGTGTAGATAGAATGATATTATAGAGAAAATAAGAGTGGATTTTAAGGTTAGAAGCATATAAAAATATGAATATGATGAGATATATTTATAGGAATTACTACGTATCATATTACATCAACCCCAATCGTCCCCAACAAAGATTCATTGGAGAAGGGCCCTTCGTGTTCTTGATTAAAATTAACCTGTAGGAATTTGGTAACTTTTAGTTTAATATGTTTCCAAAAATAAAAGTAAAAACATATATTTATTTTAAATATAAGACATTACAAATGTATTGAAAGATGTAACTTTTACAAATGATCTAACTAGACACATATTTATGTAAAAATATGGTTTGCACTTTAATAAAAGGGAAATTCTACGGTGCACCTCTAAATTTCGCATGTACGGTACATTCATATATATTTTAATTATTTTCCATGTGGTACAATATTATTGGTCCCCCTATGATACAATCAAATTAACGGGTGCACCGTAGAACTCCCCTTAATAAAATTTGTTGACCCCAAAGTCTTTTGAAAATAAATGTAACACAAGACTTTCACTAAAAATAAATGACAAGTTCTTTTAACAACCAAATGTTTTCAAAAGGTTGAGAATTTGTTTGTGTGTTATGCCCTTTCATCCTTGCGGCTTGCGGCTTTCATAGTGTTTCTAACTTCAAATGTTTAACAACTGTTTATAATAAACAAACAAACAAACTAGATCTTAACTTTTTTAAGTGTACCATTTGTTCACTTGTGAGGAAGAGTCTATTTGGAATAAACAGAGTTGTTTCCAAATTTCAGTGCGAAAAGTATTGACCCCATAATATATTGTAAATGAAGTCCGAAAAACAATTTTTTCTTGTCTCTTCTTTTTTGTTAGTTTTTTTCATTTCAAAAAAATTTATAAAAGATAATAATCTAAAGATCATGTTGACTTTTGAAGAAAAAAACGTATACTTCCCGAAATTAGCATGTCCTCACTCTATTCCTAATCACAATGGCTAATAAGTACGGAGTAATATATTGACGTTTCCATATTGATTAGTAGGGATTTGGGCATTTTGGTTTGGGTTGACTGAACCAAATTGATCCTGAGCCAAAACTAAACAATGTTCTATTCGGGTTTAATTTGGTAATGTTTTTTCAAACTGTTTTAATCTGAATTGAACTGAATTCGAGTAATACCAACCCATATTAATAATACGATAAACCTTCAAAAATTAAAAAAAAAATCAAATCAAACCAAACATAGTTTCTTTTAATTGGTAAACCGTAATCATTCTTCTAACTCATCAACTGAACTGAAAACTGAAAAGAAAAAGAGAAAGCTGAGTTGTCTACCCCTATTAAATTTTCTGTAGTATAATTGAAGTATAGCAGACAAAAATACAAAATTATTACGCAGTATTACTTATAAATTATAATATGGAACAGCAGATCTTTGATATTATGCTGTCCCTCATCACCAGGAAATTAGTTACAATGTGGGAAAAAGAGCCAAAAATGAGAGCATTTGAGAAAAGAGGCGTGTCTGGCTGTCAGCGGTTAGATCGTCGTCAGAACATCCACCTAGGCGAAGATGGATTTATTGGGCTGTGACGTGGTATCCTGTTGGGCGTCGGCTTTGGTCTCATCTCAGGGTTGTTACGTTTTTTCATGATGGAAGAAACTGTAGGGCTGAAAAAGTCATTGCTTCTATGTGAGGTTGTTGCTCCGTGAGAATGGACCTTCCTGCCCTTCTCCGAGGGAGTTGATGTTGTCCTATGTGCTGTTGGGACCATAGCTGCCCCCCATCTGTTGGTGTAACTCATGCAACTCTGGCTCCTCCCCACCTCCTTCCCTCCTCGTCTGGCAGGAGGATCACTACTTCTTGGAATATTACGGCTTTCTGCGGTTTCTGCTGAGTACATTGTCGTTGTCTCTCCCTCGCTGCTGTAGTAATCTTCGTGTTGTTGTTGCTGCATATCTGATGCCTCAACCGGAGATGAACTTTGTACCTCACTTTGTGGCCCATTTATGGATCCAGTTGAAGCTATTTCAGCTTCTGGGCCATCACTGGACTTTTCTCCACAAACTTCTTCATAGTAGTGAGAAGGTTTTTTTCTTGCAGATTGTGGAAAGGCAGCAGTTATTTTTGAAACCTTTGGGGCCCGTTTA